CTGGCTGTGCCGGGGGTCGAGGCCGTCGCCGGAGCAAGCTGCACCGGCAGTAGCGCGGAGGTGTCCCCTTGGCCGCGGAAGCACTTCGCCGGCTTTGAGTCTCTGAAGAAAGCGGGCCATATATCTGCTCTCGGGGAACGAAGAATTAAAACGCTTGCAGGTTGAAGTATGTTTGTGATGGCAGTGAGATCCCTTGTACTTCTTTAGCAAGAGGAAGATACGAATAGATACAAGCTTGTATCACAAACGATGAAAATTCTCTTTTCTAACCTGAAATTAATAATTCCTTGGGGCTGACAGGTCTCAGTAAGATTGGTCGTTGATGTTTTATTTAAAGACTATAGCTGTCATTCTTTACTAAAGAAAGATCGCTTTAAATCGCCACTTTAAAACCATTACCTTTAGCGGCATTTGTCAACACTTAATCCTGATAAAATGTCTGGACATCCTGTGGCCGTGAACTTTAGAACTACTGTATTTGTTGTCATCTGAAAATGGGTATTTAATAATCAGAAGAACTATGGTTTTGTCTGATTATTGCTGTGTAGTGGAACTGTTGATAAGCTGGAAGTTGGCTCCTTGCATATTAATCAAGCACAAATGGTGAGAAAGGTGACTGGGAGGATGATGTAATAAGAAGCAAGAATTCATCACACTCGTAGTTAGTTATCATATGGTAATCACTTTTTTATTTGTTCTGGTTGCTTGTTACAACATTCTGTAATCTGTGTGGAATAGGGCTAGATTCTGTAGCAAAGAGATAGCTGTATCATAATGGGCACCTTTGAGTAGTTTATGGAAGTTTATTAAATAGAGAGTGGCCAGTGTGCATAACTAATCAGTTAAGGTATTTAATTTAATTTGTTTATGGGGAAGTCTGTATTTAAACATAAGGCTGCCTACCTTCCAGAGTTGTTGGAATTCCAAAAGCAAATAATTGTAATTAATTATCAGAAACAGAGTAGCTTTTAACTTTTCTATTTGGTGTAGTTTGTGGGTGTATAGTTCTCAGTGGCAGAATGTAAGCTAAAATTTTGCAAGCTATGAACCCTAATGTTTGGGGATATAACTGTAATTGGGGAAGCTGGTCAAAGCAGTCAAATACGCTGCGCTTTTCACATGTGTTGAGAGAAGGGGAATGGTGTGTTTTGGCGAGGGAGGCCTGTGCATACTAACTGCAGTAGAAATATGAAGTGTGAGAGTTGTGAAGTAGCGATATACCGAATATACATATTTAGCACTTTCTCACTTTCTCTCAGAAAGGAAAAGATAACATTTTAAGTTGCATCAAAATAGCTGAGGGGTTGCAGCATTGTGGATAGCTCTTTGCAGGGGGGAGTCAGTTCTTGCCTTTTGGCTGTGCTGCTGTTTTCATGCCATGAAGTGTATGAAAATGCAAATGACTGGGAAAAACTGTATTGAGTTTGTGTTCACAAAGTATTATTACTCTATTATGTCTTAAACTTTGTGATAACCAGTTTTATGGGAGAGTCGTTTCTAGCTTGTGCATGGTATTACGGGCTCTCTGAATTCATGTTAGGTGTCACAGGAAATTGCTATTTAATGGTACAAAAAGTGTGTATGCACATAGATATAAAATATATTGCTAAAAGTGAAGTAAAGCAGCTGCTCGTGGAAGTGTTCCTACGTGTGGCAGATACTAGTCTTGACAGGACATTTACTTAGCCTGCAGGGTAACAGCTTCCGAGATGTATCAGAGGGAAGCTAGAGCGTTGGTGCAGCTAAAGCACTGGTACAATATGCAGTTACTTAGCTGATTTAGACTTAATAGTTATGCCTTACTCTGTTCAAGAAAATCCATGGTCAGGATCCTAGTCGAGTTTATTTTGCATCAGTGGATGCAGGAAAAATGCAAATGTGGGGTAGGATCTGGATGTGCCCCCTTCAGTAATGAAAGACTTAAAAGCATTAGTGGTTTGGCCCAGTGGAATAGGCAGTAAATGGAGAGGGTCAGGTTCATCTTGGAAAGAGAAGTAATTAATATAATGAGTATTTAGTGATTGATTGTAAAGTCTCAGTTCTAACAATGTCACAGCACATACGCTATTATCTGACTGCATTATAACTTAAGAATCTCTGTGCAAAAAAAAAACAACCCACCACCACCCCACATGCCAGTTCTTGCTTGCTTAGCATTGTTCTTTCCTTTAAAGATGGCATCAGTCTGAGAAATAAATGAAGTACAGTATTTGTATTACTGCTAAAACTCTTTGTGGAAGAGGAGAGGAAAATATGTAAGTAAACTAGTTTGAACAAGTTTAAAATGGAAGATTCTTCTGTGGCTGAAGGAATGGTATCGTTAGTTCACTCGCGCTCTTACACGCCTATGAGTCATTGTATTTCTGTGCAACTGTAGCATACCCACACTTGAATATGAAAAAATATTTTGTAGGTGCGGGACTGCATTCAGAAAACGCTGACTGAATGGAGCTCAAACATTGGACAAGACCTAAATCAGGTAGGAGAGGTGTCACACATGTTATCTATATTACATGTGAAAACAGAGAATATATAGATGGTTATTGATTTTAAAATATAAATGAATATATTAAATTTCTGTAAAAGTATCTGCAGCTCCAGATATCTTAAAAGACTATTTCTCAATCCCTCTTTTTTTTTTTTTTTTTTTTGTTTAATGTTTAGAAAATTTGGAGAGGTTAAGAAATACCAAAGTAAAGAATCCTGGCAAATAAGACAATTCTTAGCAAATAAAAGTCTTGGTCTGCAAGATTTCAAGTTCATTTTTGGGGCAATCACCAAAAAAAAATCAAACCAACCCCTGTATACTTTAGAAGTTTGCTAGCATGCTTTTAAAAACTCAGTGGAGAATTACTTAAACTGGACATGATAAACTAGACAGCTGAAGATCATCTTGTTCGGAGGGAAACTCTGAAGAATAGCCTTGGTTCTCTCAGAAGTATTTCTGAAGATGCAGAAGTGGAAATTTTTCCTTGAAGAGCTAAAGACTTCCACATAATTCTTAAAACCACAGTCATGGGCATCTGACTTCAAGATCTCTGTGTATTTGCTTGCTCCTCTTTCACTATTGCTTCTGAAATTCAGTAAAGCAGTAATAGGTTCCCACTAAATACATTATTTGCTCTGTGAAATATTGGCATGCTTCATTTAAAAAACAAAACAAAAAACCCACAAACTTTCCTGATGGTTTCTTTGGCTTTTGTTGCCAGTTCTTAGTAATGGTGGCATCAACTGCACATTGCTGCATTCCACACTGGAGTGTGATGAGGCTGTTATTGGTGAATGATTTGTGGAAGATCTAATGCTTGGTAAAGAAAAGAACATAAATAAACATTTGTCTCTGGAAGATGTAGTGAGCCATTTAAAGTTAATTATTTAGTGTGAGCTAGGTTTTACTGTCAAAACATGTCAACTGCATGATTCCAAATTCTTTTATGAATTATATTGGTTTCCAGTAATAGAAAAAAAAAAAACACCAAACACTTTTGTTTAAGATGTTGACTCTATGGAATAACTTGAAGACTCACTTGAGGGTTTTTTGGTAGGGCAGCAAAAATTACCAGAGAGTTCTTGGTTGAGGGTAGGGTGGTATATATGTGTATATAATAAAAAAATCTCATGTAGGTGAAGCCTTTAAAAAGTAATCTTGTACCAGCTGATAGAAGATGTCATACTAGTCTTAAATGAGGAAAGAGGGCGAAATCTCAAACTTTCCTGATTTTTAGTTTCAAAATTATTGTTTTAAATCTGTATTTACAGCATTTTAATCTTAGGCTTCACTGAAATTACAAAATACTTTTATGCAAAGATGTTCCCCTAATTCTGATAAGGTGGGGTTTTTTTGGTGGTGTTTGTTTGGTTGGTTTTTTTTTTAAGCTGGTCTTGAGGCTTTTTTTTTTTTAAAAAAACAAAGTAGTTTGAACTGGCACAGCAATCCATTCACGTCAGAAAACAGAATACTACTAAGTCTTATTCCAATAACTCTTCATCAGTAATTAATATTTTTTATATTAGGCGAATATAGGGCCTTTCATATAGCTTCATTTTTCCTGTCCTTCCTTCAGAGATCAAGAAGCATTGGGTTACTTTCTTTCTGTCATTGCATTTTTATACTATTTTTGTTTCTAACTGCTGTAAGGCTTTTTGGGGATTTCTAATTAATTCAAAACGTTCTTCAGAAACTTACTGTTTCTTCTTGACAAGTTGTTCCTAAGTCTCATGTACTTTACAGGAAATACTGGAGGCTCTGGAATGTACTGTAGCTCAAGCTATAGAAAAAATAAATCCTGAAGAAAGGGATGAGTTGAAAGTATCAGGTAAGAGCATAGTCAAAAAGCCAATGGCATGAAAAGGTTTCATATGCAGTTATTAATAGGATGTTCATATATGTATATTTTTCCACTGTGTTTTGTAGTTGTAAAGTCAGATGACATCAGTGCACACTGTAATACTTTGTGTAGTCTAGAAGTTTGCTAAGAGACTTGAATTCATATTTTAGGTTTTAAAGCAGCTCAGCATTTCTCCAGTTAAACTTACATCCCCTGAATACATTTTAAATGTATTTTGTGAATCTTTTACTTTTTTGAAGCAAAGTATTACAGATAATACTATGATTAAGAAATAGCATTGGAAGCACATTTATTTGCATAATTTTTTCAGGTTGAATATGATGAACTTGAAGGAGGCAATCCAAACTAACACTAGTACATTTTGAGTCTCAGTAAGTTGTGACGAGGTCTGTTTGTACTGTTATGTTTGGAGGCTTTATACAGGTTGTTACAGTTACTTCTTAGTGTCTTGATGCTTAAATCCTAGCTTTAAAGCTTATTAGATCATCTAACTGGATGATTTCTTGTTCTGAGACTGCATAACAACTTTGAAATTTAAGAGAACAGTGTCTGTATTGGGCACAGGTTTTTTCCCCCAATTTTTGAAGTAATTGGTGTATATTCTAAGTACTCTTTACCCAAGAACTCGTAAGTGGTGTATATAGCTATATATTTAGTAATAGCTGGCTTGTTCAGTTATTGATTCCAGTTTCTTTGAAAATAGCAAAACTTTTCATCGTTGGATCAAACTCTTCATCAATTAGAGATGCAGTTGACATGGGTAAGTGTGAAACTCGAACTTTTGGTAGTGCTTCTTTTTTACTTTAGTATTTAGAAATAAATTCAGAGACTTTTCTAAGAAGTGTATTTAGTGACTGTCACAAGTATATCCTGTTTTTCTCTGAAGAGGGACTTGGGTAACCAAGTCTACTTACATGTTAAGTTCAGTCAATAAACTTATTAAATGGGGATCACTGTAACCTTCAGTCCACAAACTCAAATCTGATTCCTTGCTCCAAGCAGGAGGAGGCTTTTGTTCTTTCGTACAAAACTTGTTAACCAGTGAATACCATGTGGTATTTTAGTAACAGTGATGCAATAGTTCTTAGCGGTTGTTGTTAGTTGCCAGTAGTTTTTAACATGATGAGCTTTGCTAACTGCAGTATTTCAGAGAGTTTTTAGGAATTAAAACAGTATTGCAAGCAGCTGATGAAATAGTTAAGTTTTATTGAAAATAGAATACAATGTCTATACCGATACCTAAAGTTTTGTTTGCCTAACGTAGCAGTAATTGAGCAGCACTGCACTTTACCACTTCAGAAGCATAGTTGGGCGTTACCAAAGAACAAAGGGTCAGATATCCTTCTTTTCTATTGATATCACAGAATCACTAAGGTTGGAAAGGACCTTCAAGATCATCAAGTCCAACTGTTAACCAACACCACCATGCCCCCTAAACCATGTCCCAAAGGGATCAGTATATCCCAGTTAATAGCTTCTTTATTGTCAGTTGTAGTACCATTTGTTAAAAATAGGTTCATAGAATCCTTCTCCAGAAGAAAATAATTTATTTAGTGGCTTAGTTTTGTTCTTTTTGCTGTGCAGAAGAGGCCTCATGACTTGTGTATTTCCTAAAGCTCAGTGACACTCCAAGACTTGCCACTTTCTCTCTGGCAATTTAAATCTCCGTATTTGGTATGTGATGATTTAGATGAAAAACACATGTCAAATAGTTCTCTTAGCCCATGCGCTGTACTTTGGTTATAGTTTCGGGTGAACGTTAGGAATTTTGGAAGAAATTGAGAGTGAAGGAGTCAAGAATCGTATGTCATCACTGTCTTCAGGGAAAAATATGGTTTTAACACTAAAAAGGGAAAAAAAGCTTCACGTTTTGTTTGGTGGGTTTTTTGGGGGGAGGGCGTGGGGAGGTGTTACTTTTTGATTGGTGGTTTTTTTTTTTTTTCCCTAAGAT